AACCAGGTTCAAAAGATTTCAGAGAACAGAGGTCACTGGGGATGTGCAAACAAACATGTAAATGGATGTTAAACCGAATGTGTGTCTGGTGATACGGGGAACTATGCCACCAGGTTAAGCATCTCGGTCACATGCAACGCAAAGGTTAAATACTGTGCGATTTCGGTGCCACATTATTGTGAAAAAAGAACACTGAGTGGAGACGACTGAAACTCATAAACTATCTGTGTCTACCGCAAGGCGATATCTTCCCGTTGTTTTCATAACCTGCACACACTTTTGCGATCATGATAAAAGTTGATGTCATAACTTCTGCGTCATTCAGGACAGCTCCACCATTATCAGCCTGATGATGCCTATAAACTGGTTTCTCTCGTGTTAAACTCTTAATTTGAGAGTAAAATATTTATATATATGGTCTCTGATTCCTGCGCGTCAAGCGCCTGGTGGACATGATGTGGCAGTACCTGGATCCAACCTTCTTTTAGATGCTTTCTCCGGAAGAGCAGTCTCCCACTCTTTTGCAAGCTTATCAAACCTGTGATGGTGACCTACCCTTCAACATCTCCTCTTGTAAAAGACGTTGGATGCCCTGGCTATCTGGCCCCTGCAGATGGCTTGTTTTCTCACGCTTAAGCATGCATTGTGTTATTCTCCTGGGATATTCGGAATGAGGTCACAAAACTCTTAACTAACTGAGAGAGGAAGTGTGTATCGTAGTTATGCTGATTTTATGTGGTGACAACCAAAGAAATACTGTTATTGGACGAGTGGTCACTTCACGTGTAACAGACTCTTTTAACACATCAGAATCGGTATCAATAAGGTTAGGTAATTTGGTATTCAAAAGCAAAAAGTTATGAGTAAATGAGCAAAATGGATGAAGGCAAAGAACATACTACTCATGGTCACACCACTTGTAGGAATTTTTGGTTCAAAGCTTTTTGCATTTTACAGTAGCTTGTTTAGGGCATTCACCAGCGACATTAGCGGCATAATATAGCTTTTGTCCAATAGGGATACGTGTGCTTTTTACTAAGCACATGGAGCTATCGTGTAAATTGGGACAAGACATATAAGTGAACAATATGGTTTTCAGTTATACCCTTTCCAAGCTTTGCTCCAATACAAATATCTCAATATATATGAAATTGAGCTTATCATGCGGATTCGCCAGTTGATTTGATTAATGTTTAAAAATAACGATAGTGATAATCAGGCAAATAATTATGGTAATCAAAGTGGTGACGCCGACCAAAGCACACAGAATGTAGATGATAGCGATAAAGCAACGTGATAATGTAGGCGCATCGATACCTAAAGTGGGTTAAAAGCCTCTGAATATAAAAGTTACGTTATACTGAAGGACGAGGTAAGTGGATAAACAAAGCCCAGACAAATACAGTAAGCATATGAAAAGGGTGAAGAGTGAGAAAGGCGGTAGGAAAAGCTGGATGATAAAGTCAAATAAGTGTTCCCTGGCCAAGGGAGAGATGAGGGATGTGTACGTATTTTAAACATATATATTGGGCTTTTTGTACTGGAATGAACCATGAAGGGGATCTAATTGGAAACACTATTGTTCACCTACATGTCTTGTTCTAATTTAAATGATGGGAATTTTAAAACTCTTAAATCCGGAACTATGACAGTTATATACCTTAAGAGGCAGCCTGAAGCATCAACAAAGTGAAATCCATACAGTTTTTATCTGGGTAAAATTGACACTATCCCTCGTGAAGTCGCACACACATGACCATCTGTATACCATGGCTGGCCACGCAACGTCACTGGAACAAAATACATGGGTAATCACGTCTGATTCCTTAAGAACAAGCTTGAGTTGGGTCTGAAGCGGTATGTTCCTTTGCAATGCCGTTTCCTAACTTAAACATGAGTTTGTACTAACCGCTAACAAAATTCGCATATCCACCGTGTTTGCATGCTTAAAAAGTAAGAAATATTTCTAACTTCCGGGGTGTCCAAGAAGTTGGGCCCCTAATCTTTTTTCAGAGTATCAGCCGAAAAAGCTTGGGGCTCCACTCCTCACACAATGAACACCTCCCACAAATACAAATATATGACAGCCAAAGCGAACCCCACTTTTCACTTTCTCCTCAGACAGTTCAGTGCTCTCACCCTCGAAGTCTTCGTCACAGCCTTTAAATCCTACGTAAGGCCACACCCAGAGGCGATGGCACTCCCAACACTCAAGCGAGACTGCGATCTCCCTGTAAACATACAAAGGTCTTCATTAAAAGCAGTTGCGTGATTAAGGGGGAGAAGATACCCTGTAGGACTAAAGCATCTGGACCTGGTCATCCTGGGCAATCACGGAAAGAGGGGTGACCTTATTATGGCCCACAAGATCATCCATCAGCCAAATAACGCAAACGACTCGCCATTCTCTGCAACGTAGTGGTCATCATGGGGAAACGCTATTAAGGTGACTCATCAGAGAGCAAACATTAGGCTCCGATCCAACTTCTCGAGAGTGTGTGCTTTGTGGAAGGCCTTACTGCTGGATGTAGTGACAGACTCCCCGGCAGACTCATTCAGAAGACGATTAGGCAGCCATGTCATTTCGCATGGTCTACCACGGATGCACCCAGGGAGTTACCAACTTCACTAGCCTACTGCCATATCCGTTCTACTTACCACTGCCTATTTTGTTGATGCACCCACATTATCTACGAACTCTTCTCCAGCAACTTGCTGTTCCTACTCAGGTACCTATACGGACAGAAATCGTGACAAACCCGAGTTTTCCCAGCAACTTGTAGCTCCTTAATCAGACTATATCATTAGTATTTATAAACCCACAACAATATTCACCTCACAGGAGCTAGGAGCAAAAATGCAGAGATTTTCTTGTCCGCAGCAAAAGCGAACCAAACAACTTGAACTAAGCCGCAAGAGATCAAAACCTACTCGTTTTCTGCGCTTACACTATCACTGAGTGACATTGTTGTAATCACCTCATGAAAAGTTGAACACTGAAATGCTATGATTTTGTAAGTAGTTCGAATAAAGGCGGGCTGCTCTTTGATTTAAAACTTGCATGTTTGTTGGTAAGGTTACCCCCTATTGCCTCTTTTAAGTACATTTCAAACCAAAAAAGTCCAATGTTTCGAATCACTAAGTGTCTTCTCATAAGTGCTTTCGAGGGTTTGTTGGAGAAGAGTGACTATCCAGTTCTTAAACGTCTATTATCCCAAATGATGTAGCGAGCTTTTGTTTCACTGGTGTGTATGCCCTAATGTGGTCATCAGTAGTTCAAGTTAAGTCGGTACGCCTTGTTTTGTGTGAATAATATGCCAATTTCTAGTGTTTATGTGTGTCGAAGGTTTGAGATATGCTACACTACATAGTCCTATGAGGGGGCATTTACTTACTCTTAAACGAGAACTGTAAGTCCTCTGTGATGGGTATCGTTGGGTGTGCCTCATGAGGTTGTGGAAGAATTGTTTTGGCATGTGATAATCCACTTGACAGTCATCTTGACAAACATGATGTTATGACAACTATATGCGCATGACCTTTCTTCTACAAACATAAAGGCTTTATGAGTTTAGTTGGTATGTTTTCGTCAATTTGAATTCAAAGTATGGGTTACTTGAATTTGTATGTTCACCAATCATCTGCATATACTGCCATGAAATATCTCGTACGGCTTCAGAAGTATGGGTATCTTAGAATTATTTTATCCGATTTCTCTAGGATTTATGTCAGGCAAAGTTTTAATTTGACCTGCATTGCCTAGATGCTACATTTTTTTTGGAAAGTATGATAGGCGATGCACGTACTTTACTATGATGAGCAGCTGATGGATATTTTGGGTATCGCTTCCGTGCAAAGTTTCACGGCTTCAGCTGTTAGTTCATGAGTAGTTTGGCTCAAACTGGTTGGGTAGCCTGATGTTTGTTTTTACATAGTAATTTAAATACCTACTGTTAATCTGTAATTACATTACTCGTATGTACCACTACTATCCATTCTAAGCCATACTACCTAGTCTTTACCTATCAATCTGAAAGCCAAAATTGTTTCTTGACTAAGCCAAATATTTGAAGGTTATGTACATTGTTGCTACGTTTTGATCTGGTCACTTGGCTTTTCTGTAACCATACTCCAGCTAAGATGCTGCATTGAGGTAGATGGACATCTGGTGGGTATATCATTTTTTGTCGTACGAATCTAGATCGAAATGTGTCTTACAGATATGATTACTAGAAAACAAGGTTTGTAACTCCGCACAAGTCATGAAAGGCTAAGTTGTCAGTCGATATGTTAAGATGACTACATCATAGGATTCTTGCCTTACACCTGTATTAAGTTTTCGGGTGTTTGACATATTCCAGTCTTGTCAGCCGAATAGCTCAGTAGTGGAAGAGTGCTATTGCCTAGAAATCTGCGTTCACATCAATTGAACGTACCGGTGCCGGTTTGTTCCCATCGATCTTGCAAGATGCAACCTCATGGACCATTTGTTCGGAGTTCAGTTATGCTGTGGTACACCAAGTGATGGTGTCAGCTAAGCGAGTAAGTTGTGTGGTTAATTCTGACATTGCGACAACGTTCGTCAAAGCGGCCTAGGTGTGTTTTTCTACGTTGTTCGATATCAGCGTGGTTGTTCTAGTTTCACGTGGTTGGATCAAACTGGTAAGTGGTTCATCTGGAGATAGTGAACACATTTTGTCTACTCAATCACGGATAGAATCTGATGTGAAATCAGGTAAATGGCTTTCGATTTCTTGTATCTATAGGGTTGTTAAACCTACCGGAAGTATCCGAGTTTTCGACTCAGTGCTTAAAGTTTAGATGTTTCATGCTATTCAAATTAATATGTTTAGTATTTTGGACCCGTAAGTTTTAGCATGATTTTGTTGTTTTTTTTGAAAGTTATTGCTTTGAAGTTTGTAATTCAACCTTCCTTGATGTAAACCGTGTTACTTTTAGGTTAAATTTATGCATCAGAAGTTAGTGATGCTTTTGTAGACATGATGCACTCGACCTCTAGCCAGTGGCTTCAACCACTATCACATAGCTCCACTCCTAGATTTCCCACGTCTACTTTGCCTTTCAATCATTTACACCAGACTTTGCCTCCACAATCTAGTTCCAGTGTTATACTAACTTCCCAACTTAATTCATCTCAACCTCTGTTTCCCTTGTCAAATACGTCCACTTTTGAATCTCAGTCGGGAACATTCCTATCAGGTACGTTACTTTTTGCCAATTACCTTTTAAATTTCATAATTTATACTTAATTTTGTTTACTGTGACTGGATATCAGCTTTTTATACAATCAAATGTAATAACAGTTGATTAACTACTTATGGAGCAGCTGATGCTCAGTCGACAGTCCTGTCAGCCTGAAAAACTGAAAAAACGTGGAGTCCTAACCTACCAAGCCGAAATCTGAGTTTCTTAGCATCAACTTGTTAATTGTCAAGTGTTTTGCGAGTGGTCTGTACTCCTAGTTTAGAGATGGAAGGAAGTGGTGGGTTTCACTGAATATGTTACTTGAGAAGTCTTACCAGACAACCCACTAAATGGGCTGACTGGTGACGACCGCAGTTCGGATACAATGGACTTATTTAACAGTTGTCAACTTTTACCACCTCAAGCACCGGTGAGATATCCAATCACATCAGAATATGATTATGCTACTCATGACCCCAGTGTCGTATTGTGCAATGGAGAAATAGGCATTGAAAACGTTACGCAAGTGTGTGAATGTTTTGGCGATGATTGTTTACGCATCACGGGTTTCTTGTGGAGTGACTGTGAGGAAACTTGAGTTTAGATGCAAAGTATTAAATTAGAAATGCAGATAAGTCGAGAAAGCTGTTGACCTTCACCGACTGGCTTGACATGAGTGTTTATTGTGTATTCCGAGCCATCGCATATATCTATTAGTGATGTTAATCGAAATAAAATTGAAAAGAAGCTTAAGATAATAAGATAGCAGTAGTTCAAGAAGTTTATAAATGTTGATGTAAGAGTAAAGCTTGAGCACTAATAAAATAGAATTCCATATCACATTTGTTCATTTCGCACAATACAGTTAGACAAAGTAAGAGATTAATTACTACGTCTCTGTTCACGAAGTCAGCACCAAAAACATGCAACAGGAATAACGCAACACTATGTAGAAATATGGAAAATGAATATGAACAAAAAATATTAGTTGATAGGCTTGCCACCACACATTCCTTCTTACCATTTCTCATGTATGGTGAAATCAGTGTATGAGTAGTTGTAAGGTTAGGCAAAGAAAGCCACTCAGTCGATGAGTCTGTGAATGTTTAACGACTGAGATGGCTTGGAGAAGTCACGCATGTCGAGTCACCATCTATCGATGTGCAGCGTTAACCAAGGTAAGATTGGGTTGGAACAAGGTGCAGGGTGGCCGCACCAAGATATAGCGCGAGTCGACGAAGTTCGTGTGTTAGTCTGGGCCATGAAGACATGTAGACTATCTGACTGGGTTGTTATAGGTAATAGAAATCAATGGAAGGAGATTCTGGGAGAACCGGCTGAAATTTGGTTACAATAGCCTGGATGTATTCTTCGACATCTTCGATAGCTTAAACGTCTTCACTAATCTTTTATTTCTCCTATCTTCTCCCGTATACTTTTGTCCACTTTAATTTCACTTTCTCTCCATTTGCTATTTGCATAAAACTGTTGAGTGACAAATTAAACCGATGCACTTCCGCTCTAGGTTCTACGTTGATTTGTTTATTTCTGATAGAACTATGAAAACCGGATACTGGAAGTTGTCTGATAATTTTGATATGATTGTAAGCAAACTTATGTTCGAAAAGTCATTCGGTAAACAATGTTGTATCACTTTGTGCCATATCAAATAAACATATCTGACTGTGGGTTTGAGCTATGTAGGAAGATAAAAATTGCCTAGGTAGGTTAGTCATAGTAGTAGAAATCAGCAGTTAGAGAATTAGTGATGTGACTGAAAGTTGATTAGAGTGAGACAGATGTATTAACTTTCCATAATCTTAAGGGTTGTTTTACATCTTATTATCCCTTCTCACTAGTCTCAATCGCTGATTGTCCCACTCTTCCAGAAAGCGAGGAAATTCTCGTTACAATTCTGGGAATCATTGGTGAATGGTCTGTAAGATTCTAAGTTATGTAGTGCCTAAGTGAAATTTGTGAACACAAAACGAGAAAACGTGGAAGGTTTGATAGGTGTATCAACTGCATCCTCGTCCTTCTCCAGATTTTGACACAGGTGCATTTACGACACGATATGATCTGAAGGTGGTAGCATACAACGTCTATCGAAGGGTCTCATGGCAGTCTTTTACTGAAGAGGGTGCCGATTATGCTCATTACTCTGTTAAAGGCAGTGTATTCATTCAAATACCCGTGTGCGTGTTAGCTTATGTTGATGTATTAAGTGAGTTGTGAACTTTAGGTAGCGTTCATTAGTAGTGCCCACTTTCTCCATTTTGACAACTTTTCTATTAAGGTGCTTGTGGAAGCGTCTCCGCAATCGTCTGATTTTACGGGTATCGAATTTATCACAGGATGGATTTTTACCACGCAGATACTAATTTTGGTTTCGGGGCCAATCTCCAATGACACCTCGTTCAACAGTAAGTGGAGTAGTTGAGTGCATTGACCACTTTACTTACTTTGGAAGTAGGATCAGCCTTGATGGGTTGATTGTCGAAATCTCTAGGAGGAGATGCATTAGGTGCAGTCGGCTTTTTCCAGCTTACGCCATCTACGGCACGGTCGGAAAATCCCATTGCCTCCAATGAGTCGAGTGTACTGCACAGCAGTTCATCCTGTCGTACAGTATGACTAAGAAACGTAACTATTAACAGTTAAGGCTTCAGATGTTCGACCTCTATTTCTTTCGTAGCATAAACCGTGTCGTGAAACCACCGCTTGAGTAATTCAGTGGCTGGGTTTAGAGTCTTAAACAAGAGGAAAGCCAGTTGATGCAGCCGTCAACTTCCATCGACTAAGGTAACTGGTACAAGTGTTACACCTGCTTAGCCACCGTGTACCCGGTTACACAATGAAGTAAAAAAATAAATCTCTAACTTTTTGCGACTTCATGGACATCGCTTCTTCAGAGAATGAAACCTGTACAAGTTATTGACTTTTTAAATGGTAAATGGTGACAAATTAGATCACGTTATTCATACATGATAAGAATATGGACATAAATGTCTTTGTTATGTTGATCGTAACGTAACAACGTAACAAAGAAGCGATGTACATGAAGTCGCAAAACGTCAGAAATTTATTTTTCTACTTCATTGTGATTTTACAAATCTATTTCATTTATTTATCCAATTACTTTCCACCCCCTCTTCCTATAGCATTCAACAAAATTTGGTTGCATTTTTCCTTTTTTTCTTATTTTTCATCTTGCTGCCTTTTTAATGTGCTTATATGGGATGTGGCTGCTTGAATAGATAACTTTTTGTCAGGTTCAACGTTAATTTGTCTTTGTTTCTGGTTTGCATAATTTTGTTGTTGTATGTGCATGCATACAAATGCATCTCAGCAAAGGCGTACCCTTTCAAATGCCAAACTAAGAACCCCATGTATTCTGTGAGGACAAATGACACTTCTTGGCATCAGGACCTCTATATGTGTACGTGTAGTCTTAATTGGATATATCAAAGTTTTCTGTCAAGACCTATTGTTTGAATGTTATTAATAATAATCGTAATAACCTTGTCCACTAAGCAGCTAACAGCCTTTTCATTTGTTCACTAGGCAATAGCGTGTCTTCGTCTGTAAATACAAAATAATTTTTTGATCCTTTGGTTACGACATTGTCGACCACCCGCTTGTAAATGTGGTGATATATATTTTCTAAAAAGCAGGTCCATCGATCAGATGAGCCTTTCTACATGACATTCATTACATTTTCATGACGTAAGGGTCTAGCTGTTCCAGCAGTCTTGGCTTCTAAAGTGATTATGAGGATGTTTCAATTTCTTCAGCGATAATGAAATTACTCTAGTGACATGTATTTGTTTTGACTAACGCTTTAAACGTTTTAAAATCATTGCATTTAACATCTTTGCTTGTTTTGTAGATATGAATTCAGAAGCCCAGTCTGTGAGTTTGACTCTATTTGCTTATCATAACTACTTCCTCAAATACATTTATTTGTGATCTAAAAACTGTGGATGTTGCGTCTAAGTATGATTTTGTGTTTTTGTGTACTTTACATAACCTAATGCCCTGCTTCTATAGACTACCGGTCAGGCATATTTCATAGGCATTGATTACACTCAAAGTTGCTAGTTTTTGTCTCTTCTAGCGTCCATCTGTCAATTATAATATCCGACTTGAAAACCATGTACATTTCTTGTACTAAGCTGCTAGCAATTCCCATTGAATATGAATGTTATACTACCTGGTTGTTTCAGTTTTGTTGGGTTGAGTAGCGTTATAGTCTGCTACTGATGATTAAAGCTAGCGCGTAAATCTTTTTGTCGCAAATCCTCAGTGTTGTGCAAAATTCCAATTCCATCCGATAAGTTTATGCTCTGTTTTTACTGTAGTTGGTGATATATCGTTTTCATGAAGTTTCGTTAACATTAGGAGTAGATTTGCGCACTGTCGTAGATTGTAATTCCATTTTAGTTTATTTATTAGACGTCACAGCGACACGATATAATTTACTAGATAACGTTTCAAACATATTTTATTGTCTATGTTCATATCAGGTAACTTCACAACTTCAAGATATGGTCAATATAATTCATCTATCTCTCCTCCTTTGTAATGGAATTTTCCGCATCTGCTAACCTTATTAAAAAGGATGCAAAAGCATGTTTTGGAGTTATGTGATATAAATATGAACAATAAGTTGTGTCTGAAACTTTTCCTAGTAAATAATGCTGTCATTGTGACACTTCTAATGAACAAATCCATAGTGGAATTTCGTTAACATTCATTGTGTGCATTTCTTGATGTCTACGTTGTACCTAGTTCATGTTTTAGATATAAAAAAATGCATTATACTGGGTTAATGCACTACTACTGCTTCAGGTTGTGCATAACAATCAATTAACTTCCGTTTACGTGGAGCACTGTGTTGAGCGTGTCTTGATATTTTATTCTGCTAACACATCAAGAGTAAAAGTTAGCGTCCTCTCGTTCGCTAAATTATTTGTTATATGTGCTAAAAAAAATGATTTTAAACTGGTGGGGAACAAGTTCAAACCCTCATCTTCAATATATATGAACAGGTAGTAGCTTTGACTTTACGCAATGAATGTGTCACGGTCTAATTTCCATAGCAAGTATAAAAACTCACTTTAGATTTTCATACATATTTAGAAAACATTCGGTTTTACCGTAACGTACTCGACTCTCAGTTCAGTACATTCGGTACAAGTGCTGTATGCAAATAAGGTCGTTAAGAAAAGACACTCGTTGAGTCGACAAAAGGTAGGACGTTTCAAAGTCAGTCAATGTCATCATGGGACTTGAAATTGTGCTTAATGGTCCAAGTTACCACACTTCATATTCGCATATCAAGACGGAAGATAGAGAAATAAGGAAGTGATTTAAGCAAGAGTTACACAAGATTAGGAGGAGGGAGGTAGTAAAACTCCATTGTTTCAGCTCCGTACACCTGAATATTTTGACATATTTCTTAGCTGTTGCCCAAGGTTTTCAGCTGAAGAATTTTACTGTTTGTTGATACCTGGTTTAAGGCTTGAAGTATTCCGTCTGAAAGCCTCAGTCATGGTTATTTACCTATTCTATTTTTCTTATTACTCTGAAGTTATTTTCATATCTGGTCGCTTATCGAGTAATTAAGGTTACAGATAGGTTGTACTCAAAGCATGCTGTAATTCCCCTCGAATAGTTTCTCATTCAAAACCGTAGATCAGGCTTCGATATCGATCATTCGGTAGTTCCACCAGAAAGACGTAAGAATGCTATTTTCACTTATATATTGCTGTCAAGTCATGGCCTGACGTAAAAGCATCCACTTTTCGGGTTTCCAGCTATTCTCTTTTGGTACATCACGCCTTATGTCTCTCCATCCATAATTTATAGAAGCATTTTTGAAGGTTCATGGCTCCCTAGCATTATTTTGACGTCAAAACCCATACTAAGCTTAAAATCACGGCTCATTACAGCAAGTTTTGTGATAACACATGTCACTGTGACCGTTACTATTTAGCCACAACTTATACTCTTTTGAGAAAGGACCATATTCCTTTTGATTAGTGTTTACTAATAGGGTTTTGATAGTTTGGGAAGTCAACAAATTTTAATTTATCATAGACAATAATTTTTGACTTAGCACTGTTTCTACGATTTGAGCTATCCGTTTGCCTATCGAAGTTGATCCTGATACGTCGAGAAAAAAATGGAATAAAGGATAAAGAGGGCTTAAGTTAGACTGCAACACCTCTGTATCCTAGTCTCATCATTTTGTTCTTTCCTTACCATTCAATTTTCGAATGAATAACCCCTAACCGATGCTAAGAGAAGTTTGCAAGTATTCTTAAGTATGTTTGGATTTTGCTGATGAATGTTCAAAATGAATTGTCATGACACCCTGGACATAAGTTTCATGCTTCTTGACAGTCATCAGCAAGGTATGAGGGAACTGGTGATCCTTTGGTGATTAAAACCTCTCACTTCAGCAGGTTTGAACTACCGAGGCAACACCAGTTTCCTCATGTTGCGGATATGCCTTGCCGATGATTGTTAAAAAGTAGGAAACTTATGTCCGGGACTTCCTATTGATGCATTTCGTACATCCAACACCAAAATACAGTACACCGTGGTGTCACATCGCTTTACTTAGTAACCATACCGCAAAGCTGTTTGGTAGGCTTTGGCTAGCGCTGAACACGAAGTACTAGACAGCTGCATAGATTACCCACTGGCGACTAATTTGGGTACATTTGGATTTGTTTACAGTAAGCGGTATTAATTCTTTGAATAAGAAATTGATATTATTCGACCTGATTTCTTATTTAAGAATATGAAAATTACTGAAATGAGGTGTTATTGAGAAATCAAATTAAACGAAAAAATGACCGAGTTAAATTCCTGTTTACTGGTTTGTATTTTTTATGCTGATAACTAGTTATAGAAGATTACCAATTTTTCTTTTAGCTCGACCCGTTAGCTGCTAATTATTATGGATTCAGTCATGATTTGGTTAGTGGTATTGGCTCACCTGGTAACCTATGGTATAACCCTTCAACGCCAGTTGCTCCGATGACAGGTTCGATACAGAGGGATTGTAATGTAAATGTTGACTGCTCGAGTGCATTGGGTAAGGAACTCTGAACAAATTTCTTAATATCTATGCTGTTTCAAAGTTATATTAATTTATGAAAACTAGTAAAAAATTGCTTAAAGAAAAATGATGTCATCTGGAAGAATAGTTTGTCTTAATAAGTTTTGCAGCCGTGGATTATTAGTTAATCGCTTGATAATATTTATTTTTCGATACCAGGTGGAAGTTTATTTATCTGCGGTTATTTAATTTTATGTGTTGCTGCTATGGAGATAACTTTAATATTCAGTGGTATTTGTTAGAATGAAGTCGATAGTTATGACATAATGGTAATTGTAACCCAATGCGCTACATGTTTATTTACTAGACTGTAAGTCGCACTCAATCTGTGAGGACTTTGGATATTAACTGCTTGTCCAGGCTGAATCAGTTGAGGCGGGGTTCAAACCCGGGGACCAAGTTCCCAAACCAATCAGCCACGTCGTCGTCACCAGTAGGTGCGTAGAATGTGATTGTAAGTGGATTTTTTAGTTTTAATAGACAGCGAAAAAATGCAGCACATCACCAACCAATTCCTGTTTTAATTATGTTGTAAAACATCGCAAGCAGATTATCCTCATATTTTGTAATATATTCAGGAAATCGTGCTGTAATGTTAAGCGCAAGGACCACGTGTAATGGGGGTTAGGTAGATAAATTGGTCATTAAATATCCAACCCTTTGTGGTATGGCTTATTAATCTAGATATTAAATTTTCCATCAAGAAATCATGGTTTTGAACCACGCTTCACCCACCACGTCGTTTCATCACCTCTCACACGCAATGGATGCGGCCCATTATCTAGTGTGGAAACTTCTGCACTTTATAAACCCATATATATAGGTCGGTCCTGTTAGGAGTCTCTTACGCATATGTTAACTAGCGAAATTATTTTGTGAGGTTCTTTAATCTTTTGCCTACTTGTATCACGTAACTCTTCATTTTACAGTGTTGTTCCATAGAATGTCCTGGCATGAACTTTAACTCATTGTAAACTGTACTTTTTAGCGGTGGTAGTAGTGATGTCATCAGGGCATGCAAATGTGTAATTTTCAACTGAATTTTGGCACAAAGACGCTATTGTCACTCTCTTCTTGATGAGTTTCTTGTTTTATTATTACTGTTTTTATTGTTCGACTTCGCTGTCTAATGTATATCGGATAAATCTGGTAAACTCTTTAAACACACACTTTTGAAAGTCTTAACATGTTTTCTTCCCAACCGATAAATTTATCATGCCCTTTTGATTATCGCTTTCTTGTTGATTAGCTAGACAGATCTCATCCAGCTGTTTGTTAAACATCAATGAGCTTCATTCTCTCCTAGTTTATAAAAGGTGTTATGTACATCTTTTTTTCTATCATCTTACTGTTATTCGTTTGCTTGTATTTCGGTAACATGGAAGTCTAGTTTTTTTATAATTTCTATGGCAATTCCATATGGACCTCCAGTTCTGTATCTAATAGTGCTGTTTTGGGAGGAAGAGAAGGGGTATGCTTCCTAACCTCCGTACACTTTACTCTTGAGTTGCTGTCTTTCTAGGCATTGTTGTTATTTTTGGTAATAGCAATAACACTTAATTGTTGTTATTGTTGTCATCACTTTTGTTGTTGAATTGTTTTATCAATTTCCTTGTTTTCGTTAACTTTTAATACTATTTCCACCTAGTGTACCACTGCTCTCTGTTCGTCTATGAAGACGTTTCACCAGTCGTGGGAAATTGGAATAAATTAGCACATTAATTCCTCATCGAATTCAAATATTTCGTTTGTTGTATATTTTTAGCATTACTTTGGTTTTGCCGGATTCCAATTCTTTCTGCACTGTAATGCACTCAGCAACCTTATGCACATCCGTGCAGTAGGCAGTGAAGCTGACCTATTGTGGGAGGGCTAGTGATACTACCTGCCTGCCCCAAACCTCGGTAGGTTGAGCGATGTTCGAACCTGTGACCAGGTGGTTGACAGTCATCTCTCTAAACCACTGAGCCACAGTCCCACCACTGTGGTACTTACAAGTAAAGTTGTAGCAGGAATATATATTGATTAAAGCGAGTTACGATATATTGCGTACTTGTACTGGAATTACTTGTATATTTGCATTTCAGTAACTTGCTAATGAACGAACGTAGTGTAACTAATAGAAATACTATTTTAAACCGGATGCTTGTGACATACTAATGTTTTTTTAGCATAAGGTAGACAATACATTGAGTATGTTGAAACGCTTATTGTGTAAATACGCATGTAATTACATTTATGGACCCTATGTATGAAGACTTTGCTACATCGAGATTAGTTCATAAAGTTTTACGAAGGGATCAGGTGGTAGTAGTTTGACTGTTCGTGTGACGTTATAGATGCTGTAAATGCCAATACGTCGCCCACCTTGATGCGTCTTTCCAACCGAAACGGGTTTTAATTGAAAGCAAGTTAGGGTATTTAGGGTACGTGGGGCAGATATATTCTTTTTTTGACGTCTTCAAGCTTTCGGACATTTTATTTACCGTATACTTATTCTCTCTCCGTCCATACACTTTTGTGTATTTCGGTTTCCCTCTTTTATACTCTTTCTCTGTGTGCTTTTGTGAATTGAATTGTCACACTCCATTAGAGTGATTCACTCTAAGTCCTTACTGTACTTTTGATTGAAACAGCATGCAGACAACTGTTAGCTGAGATCCAAAAACTTGGAGAAAGAATTTTACAGATTTACTACTTTGATAAGATGGGATTAACTTTAGTAGCCACACTTCCATACTGCATGTGTGCCTCACAAACACTACACACGACAATGACCGGAGATCCCAGAGTTTTGGCTAGCGAAGGTTGTTGGCGAATTTAAAGTAAGGTATGGATATTGAAAGCTCAGTGATGCCTTTGAAGTGAAGACAAGGCTGCCTACTATCACCGATGATCTTCCTGATTGTGGTGGGCTGGGTCATGCAACAAACTTTGAGGAGCGAGAAGAGGGGGATACAATGGCTGGACCGCAGAAAAGAACCTAGAAGATTTGGATTTCGCCGACGACTTGTGTCTAGTTTCGCACAAACTCGAAGATCTACAGGCGAAAACTAACAAGTCGGCAGAAGAGGCGAGGCAGCGAAGATGGGACTTTAAGTAGACATAGAGAAGACGGGTGGAGGTGATGAAGATACCCAACCAACAACAACAACAACAAGAAGCTCCAATCACCATCAACGGGAGAAACCTAAAGGAAGTAACCTTTTTCACTTATTTAGGCAGCAGTGTTTCAACTACAGGTGGTGGGGGCACGGATAAGGACGTCATAACCCGGTTTGGAAAGACAGCAAGACAGGCCTTCACTAGTCTGAAATCAGTGTGGAGATCTGCACTCAGCACAAAGCGTGAACAAGATCCCGACCGTTAGCTGCTACCCTGACGTGGTGGTCGGGCTTGCATATCACAATGACCCAACGAGCTATGCTGGTGGAACGCTTGTTCCCTCGAGGTCCTACCATACCAGAAAGGTCTGTTGGGTAGTGGTTAGACGAAAAGCAGTTACCGTCATAGTGTAAATTGCTATACTATGATGGGGGTCTGAGGGCGAAGTCGTACTGCTGCTAGCTGGATGGGGTGTGACAGCAGTAAGGTGTTTCCCTTGGATGACCAGCAGTGCCAAGCTGATGCTGCCTTCTCAGTGGAAGGGGGGGTTAGAAAAGGTCGGCCCCAAAAATAACACACTCCACCACGCCCCACGGTCTGCCGGGCCGGCGGTGTTGGTTCACTTGTCGTTTCCTTTCGCTCATCCGGCCCCAAAAATACAAAAATTCAAAATAATCATACTCAAAAGGCTGGGTGTGACAGGCCTCAAGCAGATGTCCGATGGGCTCTGCGGTCACACAAATCTCTTTCAGGTACCTTAAGAAGAAATAGCCTTCCACGGTGTGGGCAGCCGGGAAGTGTCAACCGCCCTCACAACTCTGTCAGCACCCAAGTTTCTTCTGACTGCTATCCTCCTCCTCCATCATTACCTTCTAATCTTCCTTCACGTCTCTTAATTAATGATGCTGCATCATCTTCAATTTCTCCTACCTCTGCAGCCTTCGACAACGATCTGAGTCCACAGAACAGTGTCCCTGGTCTCCTTAAACCACGCTCCAAATTACATATTGGAGCCTTCAATGTCCGCACCCTCCGTCAAATTGGCCAACAGGCTTCGTTGGCAAAGACTCTAGCAACTCGGGCATGGATGTGTGCTGTGTTTGTGAGACACGCATACAGGACCCAAGTGTGGTTATTCACCTGACCTCTCCTGACCAATCTGGTGAATCTGCAAAATTCACCCTTCGAGTTTCTGGAGATTCGATAGCTAGCTCTCGTGGTCTTGCAGGTGTAGGTATAGCATTAAGCACCAGGGCAGAAAACTCACTACTAGACTGGATCCCAGTTGATAGTCGCCTCTGCGCTATGAGGCTGAACGGCACAGTGAGAACTAAAAGGAATAGTGAGACTCGCCGTTGTCTCTTTGTAATCTCTGCTTACGCACCCACTGACTGTAGTTCGGATGAAGTGAAGGACGAGTTCTACCATAAACTGTCTAACCTCCTCTCGAAAGCCAAACGTTCGGACGTAGTGGTTGTTGCAGGTGACCTCAACGCACAGGTGGGTAGACTGAGTGAGGCAGAAAGGCACTTAGGTGGCACTTTCGGAATCCCAGCTGAACGTACAGATAACGGTGATCGCCTATTACAACTATGCTCAGATAACCGCCTATTTTTAGCCAGCACAAATTTCAGACATAAAGAAAGGCACTGTCTGACCTGGCGTCCACCGAGCTCGACTCAGCGATGGACACAGATAGACCACATTGCTATTAGTCATCGCTGGAGAGGATCGGTGGAAGACTGCCGCTCCTTCTGGAGTACGTGTTTGGACAGCGATCATGCGTTGGTCCGAGCACGTATATGCCTGCGTCTCAATGGACGTAGAAAAAATTTGGCAACAAAACCACTACGAGTTCTGCTGGACAACGAAAACACCAAAGCCGTGTTCAGTGAGAAGTTGGCTAGGCAGTTATCGGAACAAAAGACTGTCACTCATCCAGAAGAAGCTTGGTGCCATCTTCAGTCTACTGTAAAAGCAGCACTGGAGACTGTAGCCGACTCCAAGATAATGGCTAAAAAGAGCCAGTGGATATCAGCAGCTTCTTCCAAACTAATGGATGCACGTGAATGCATCCCTGCAGGCTCTGAGTACAATGAAGAGCGAGCGCAACTTAAAAATAGACTGACGAAAAGTCTGCGCAACGATCGTGAACAGTGGTGGGCAGCAAAGGCTAAAGAGATGGAAAAGGCAGCGGCGATCGGTAACAGTAGACAGTTATTTAGACTTATTAAGGAGACTGGGGGGAAATGGTCAACAACAGTTAGTGAGGTTATAGCGGAGAAGGACGGATCGGCGATTCACTCGCAGGGAAGGCGACTGGGACGATGGGCAGAACACTTTGAGGAACAGTTTAACTGGCCTCCAGCCACCATTGCGCTGCCCGCTATCCAGTCGGACCCTGAATGGGACATAGAGACAGGTCCCCCAACACTAGAAGAAGTTGAGAAAGCGGTAGGTAGCCTGAAACGGGGAAGGGCAGCAGGACCAGACGGACTACCTGCTGAGGTATACAAGAATGGTGGTAGAGTTCTCTTAGTCAGGCTAACGGAAGTGTTAGCCAGTATATGGGAATCAAATACGATCCCCTCCGACTGGTCTAAGTCACTGATCATCCCAGTCTTCAAGAAAGGCGAGAAGTCCTCTTGTGATAACCACAGAGGAATCAGCCTGACAAACATAGTGTCTAAGATCCTAAGTTCTATAATTCTCCGACGCCTGAGTGGAGCTCGGGAACAGCAAGCCCGAGAAAACCAGGCAGGCTTTAGACCTGGCCGTGGATGTATCGACCAAATATTCACACTGCGCCAGGTCCTGGAACATAGGCATGCTTACAGACGCCCGACAATAGCTGTATTTCTCGACCTGAAGGCGGCATTTGACTCCGTTGATCGAGAAGTCTTATGGCAGTGTCTGTCACTGAAAGGCGTGCCTAGTAAGTACATCACCTTATTGAAAGCTCTCTACTCGAACACTTGTGGGCATGTTAGAGCCTATGGTGAGTTGTCCAGGGAGCTATACTCATCAAGTGGTGTCCGTCAAGGATGCCCACTATCCCCATTCTTATTTAATTTTATCATAGATATTCTTATGGAGGTTTCCCTCTCGTCACCTAATTACAAAGACGTTGACCGGATCACAGGTGAATTTTCCTTAGATCTAGAATATGCAGATGACATAGTCCTGTTAGGTGAAGACGCTGACAAGATGCAGAGTCTTCTGAACACTTTGAGTGGGAATTTGAGAATGTTTGGGATGCGATTTTCACCACCCAAATGCAAATTTTTGCTCCAGGACTGGTCTTCAGCGGTACCGCGGTTAACAATAGAGAGTGAAGTGGTTGAGTGTGTTGACCACTTCACTTACCTGGGAAGTAGGATCAACCCGGTGGGTTAGTTGCCGATGAGATTTCTGCACGGATACAAAAGGCTCGATTGGCTTTTGCCAATTTGCGCCACCTATGGCGCCGCCGTGATATTCGTTTGTCTATTAAGGGTCGCGTGTACTGCACAGCAGTCCGCTCTGTTCTACTGTATGGCTGTGAAACATGGCCATTGAAAGTGGAAGACATGAAAAGGTTTCAGGTGTTTGACCACCGTTGCCTTCGTAGTATAGGACGTATTCCGTGGTGTCACCATGTGAGTAATGCAGAAGTTAGGTGTAGAGTTTTAGGGAGAAGAGGTAAGTCAGTCGACGAGGTTGTGAACCTTCATCGACTGAGATGGTTGGGACACGTACTACGTATGCCTAGTCACCGATTGCCTCGTCACACAATGTTGGCTGAGGTGGGTTCAGGCTGGAAAAAGGCCCGAGGTGGCCAGACTAAAACATGGCACCAATGTATGAAGTCTCTGACTGTTGGTTTAAGCCATGTAGGACGATGCAGACTAGGTGGTTGGGGTCCACGGGACAAGAGGAACCAGTGGTTGGAGACCCTAGGTGATATGGCTCAGAACCGAAGTCAGTGGCGCAGATGTATACACACATTATCCTCATCTTAACAACGCTATACCGAATCTCACTATTTTGTCACTCCTCTTTCCTTTCTTCTCATACTTTATATTTCTTTTGACTGCATTCACTTATCTTCATCCTTCACCTCACTACCTTTTTACTTGATGTGCTGATATGAGGTGTGGCAACTCGGACCGTTACGCAGTAATGCCTGGTCCTATGTTGATAATGATGATGATGATGATGTGAACAAGATCCGGATTTTCAAGTCAAGTCAGTGCTTCTATGTGGTGGTTGCGAGATTTGGTGGCACGTTACGAAAAGCATTTCCGATAAACTACAGATATACATCATCAACAGCTGCCTACACTCGCTCGATACTGAAGATCACGTGTCCAGAATAATAAGAATAAGCGACAAAGAACTGTTTCTGGACTGTCAACGAACCAACGAAGAAGCTATCGCTGAACAAATATGCAGAAGAAGGAAGTGGAGATGGACAGGATTGGATTGGATTGGGCATACACTGAGAAGACCGATTGGGGATATCATGGGCCATGGCAGGTTGTTGAGTTGACATCAAATGGGAAAGGATGAGTTGGGCGTGTCTGAGGTTTGTGTGACATGGAGGAGATTGTATGAGGAAGAAACGGGCGCTTCTTGTCATTGGTGGATTCAGGTTGAAAAGACTGCAGAGAAGATAGTACAATGGAGACTTGCTACTGAATCCCTATGCTCCACTAGGAACCTAAGAGATAAAAAGTAGAAAACAAATGAACCAGTAAGTAATGAAAGGTATTCAGAATGTAAGTGGTGGATCACTTTAAAATCAGTTGTGCATGTAGAAACTTGTCAAAAAATGACATTCCACTTTCAAACACCAAATCACCGGTTACAAACCGACTCTATGTACCGAGGTTTCATCAATGTGAGGGCATAATTGACCTTCACACATTTTGCGTGACGCATTGTTTCTTATATTGAACCTGTATTGGGTTTTTGAATTAAAGTATTGTTGTTATAATTCTTACCTTAAAACCTCTCCTCAACAATATAGAAACAGAAAAGGAAGTATTGATGCAAATGAGGAGGAGATTATACTTGAAGGAGAGTGGAAAAAGCGAATGTAAGGTGTTTAGAAATTTGATGAAACATGTCCGAATCATTATAAACAATGTTCAACCATATCGGTGGCTTGCTGTAATCATTGTTTCTTTTGGTCAAAGTATTTTAACTGGGAAAAGATGAGAAATACTATTCAAATTGTTTAAAATCTATTATGAAATTTAAAGTTTACCAGTATCTTGGTGTTGATATGGTGTTTGGCAGCCTGGATCTTTATGCAAAAGTGTCACATCTCACTATGATACCGATTCTCTCTAAATGCTCTGGAAATTTAAACACTGACCATCAGGTCTCGTATTGCTTTTAAGGCACTGAACTAAATTCCTGTTCTACTCTGTTTTTTCCACCTATCTCGTTCTAAATTCAGTTTTTAATAAGAGTGATCATTTCTACCCGTAAATTATTGCGAGGCATTTCAACGTTTCCGATTTCTGCAGTTACTTTCTAGTTTTTATGATAAACACTTGAATAGTTTCTATACACAGTGTTAATTACTTCATTTTGAACTGGGAGATAGTTTACTCTCGATTTCAATTTTGTGCTGAACAAACATCAGCCTGATTTACCATCCGATATGTATGTGCAACTATGCATATTATCTTATGAAAATGGAGAAATTCTACTCGTGTAATGCAAAATACGCAACGGATTGATACCTAATTGTACAACGTCTAGCCTTTAACGTAAAACCTTAGCTAATGGAACAAGTCATAAGATAGATTTTGAGCCAGGCCACATTTGAGCTAGAATAAATCGGTAATTAGTTCAGGTTTATCTTTCGTGTCTATCTGATCAACCTGGTTTTTATAAAAGCATCACTTTTTACAGTTCATTAACATTTGCAAGTGTAGTGAGTTGTGAATTATTATAATTTTGGCAATGAGGTTTCTATTTTATCTTGCTGGTTGTAACTTGCACTTCATTGTTATAATTGTATTATTTTTCAACTTCAACATCAAAGTGCAATTTGTTTTGATTTTCTAAACACGCTGGGATTATATTAAAATACATTTTTGTAATGATACAATTTGTTTGTTTATGTAGGTCGTAATGAAGACCCTGTACAGATGATTCCACCGTCCACCTCATCGTCCTCAAAGGCCATTACTCCACAGGTAAGCGTATATAACCTATCATTCATGTGTAAGCTACCAGTTGTAATTTATTTTGAGAAACAATGGATTACTTTTCGCTTCACCTAAAAGGTATATAAGTTCATGCCTCTATATCTTCTTAATCTAAATTTTAATTGCTGGACATTCAATAAAGTCTGGAAATCTCCAAGTAAATATTTGCTTTGCTTAACTTTCGTAGTTTGGTTTCGTTCTTATTTCATGAATCTTTATTAATGCACTTGGCTTTTACAGAAAGTCAACTATTTTTTGCGTTGTCAAATGATATCGTGGTAATAAATCAGACTGAAGCGTATCAATCTCAAAAAGTGGCACCAATTAACTTCTGCGAAGCGGTAATTTTGATTTCTATCTAGAAAACGATATTTTCAGCGCAGTAAAATGAAACGTAAACAGTACATTAGTTGGACTACAGGCGTCAAAGATAATCGCCTCAGGAAGACAGAAGAGTAATTCCCAGATAGTCTGACTAGAAATTCCTGAAATTCTTATGCCGATTGTTGTCAGACAGCTTGTTATAGCACAGAAACAAAACAAAATAGATTTCTGCTTTGGTTGTGGTTGCTTAACCAGACATTCAACCCCTTCCCGCCGAGCATGTTTGCTAGTATCTGGAACACTATCAACCTAAGGGTAACACATGATTCGGTTGATAATACGGCACTGCCTTATTGTTGGATAGTGAACACTTATCGTGTTATGGTATCAAACGCCTTCTATTTGAACTCAGCCTTATAAAAAAAGTTATTGTCGAAAATGGTGACAACCAGGGATTCTCCACTACCATCATTCTTGTCTAGTTTTGTCGTCCACATACTGATGAAAGCCCACCTCTGATTTCTCGAGAACCGGTGTTTTGCAGCATACAGATGGTATGTTTTTGTTTGGGGAGAATACCTTGAACTGAAGTCATATTTCTTTTTGATGTTCTTCTCAGTCTGGACTACAGAAGATCATTTCATCAATGTAAACTGATTGTTAGAAAAACGAAAAACAAGACAGTTAAATTATTCATGCAAGTCAGAATGTAGACTAGAGATAAACATTACAGCCATGGACCTAACAAAAAAGCTTTCAAACAAATTCAGTGATACCAGTTTCTCCTACCATAATCACACAACAGTTGTACATAACTTCGTGATCGTAATTGTTAAGCCAAGACCGAGAGAAAAAGACAAGTTGGCAATTATGGTTTAGTGTTTAGGTGTATAAGATGTCTCGTCGAGACAACTTTATTATTATTATTATTATTTCGTAGTCACTTATGACTTGTTTTCAGTCGGTGATTATTGCCATGTACTCAACTTGCTTATTAGTAGTGGCTACTTGGTTGCGAAATATGTTGCCCTTAAACCCCAAACGGTTGGTGTAAATGCTTATCATTTACCCTGCTATGTAGTGCAGTTAGGGTGGTAGTGGGAACGAAGTATATCATATATATATAGGACTGGAGAGTACTGAACAGCTACTTCATCGTAGCAGTGCAGGCCAATCGAATCGGGAATGAGGTAGATGCCCACTCCTGCTATTTGCTGATGTCTGTGATGTATAACGGGTTGACGGAAGTGGGAAATAATAAACCATTGAATTCTGATCCCAGTGGCTTAATGGCAACCCCTTCTAGAAAACTGATAGTCCTAGATTTGATCCTTGGTGAGGTCGTGAGTGGGGATTACTAATGAGTCTCATACTAGGTTAAAGTAGCTGTCCAGTGCTATCAGGTTTTTGATGGTTCTCTAACTGATGCCAATCCGTGACAAAAACAACTTTCAAATCAACGAATTTTTAAAATCTATCAATTGGATAAAATGTGGAAATGAATAGTTCAAAAATACTTGCTACTGGTGACATTTTAGTAAAGCAACCTTGTTTACATTGGTAAGAACTTAGTGGTTGTCCTGTGTGTTTTCTTCCAACTCAGTCTGATTTACAGCTTTAATCATGTGATTTCTGAAACTACTTTCATATCATTTTAAGCTTCTCTCATTGTATATGAGCAGTGGTTTTATTTGATTAAATGATACTACATGAGTTGTATAGATCCATTCTTTTCTTGGTCATTGCTCACTTTTAAGGATGGTCATAAATAGAGTGCCTTCAGTTAGCAGATTGTTTCGTTCGCGTGAACGCTTATCACTCGGTCACACCTTGCTATAACTTTTTCACCCTTTTAAACAACTTGTACAATACCAAATATTACTTCTTAACAATTGTATTTTTTATTTCTTACTGTGGTGATTGAAATCTAAGTGAGTTTGTTTGTCCTATGCTATTTTCAACTAGTTTTGATCTAATTAACAGCTGTTAGTTGTATATTTTCTCTCTATCTCTCACTCTGATATATGTAAGTACTTATGTAGGTTTGAAATTTCTAATTTAAGTATTAAATTCAGTTAGTAGTCGACTTTATGTTTTCATTTTGTTATTTGATGGGGGTTTTTAAGTTAGGTGACTGTAGTAGTAGGTTTATACTTGCATTTATTAAATTTTATCTTTAAAGCTTTTTTGTCATTGTAATGCATCAGATTGTAAGACAGGGGATTCTCCACCCTTCTTTGTAGTAGTGCTTTGAAAAGATTAAACTATTGTTACCTTTTTGTCACTAAGAGATAGTTTGGTTATTAAAGCACATGTAATATGTATTGGCTAATATGCTGAATAAAAGGATTTGTTTCTGTGAATAGACTGATACTGAACGCCTTAGCTTTTGGTATATGAATAGGTGTTTTCAGTTTATGGTACATGCACTTCACAGAGTAACTAAAAAACAGTTGGTTAATTACCATTGACTTAAATTCAAAGTCGATGTTTGTTACATGCTTGTGTTCTTTTGTATTTGACAAAAGAGGTACAAATTGTACTCAATTAAGAGTACTTTATAAGATTACATCGATATTAGAAAAACTACAGTCCTAATTGTAGTGGTGATGGTTTGCGTGGGATAGTAAATTGTCAAACACTTTCTGTAAGTCGAAGTGATATACTGAATAATATTTAGATTGCAAGACACTACTCTAAATGTTACATTATGGTAACATACACTTCAGCACTGTTGAATCTTTGCGTTTTTGAGGTTAGAACTGATTCTACTAATGTTATTTGCATGGTACTAAAAAGCTTCACACAGTAGTTTTTGCCTGTCGATTATATAAAAGTGAAAGGTATGCATTTCGTATAGACTATCATCCATTTCTTATGTAAAACACTGTAAACAGTTCGATTAATAAATTTATCAGAAAATATGTTTATTATTTTAATAATTGACAGTTCAAAGTATTCAATTTTTACTAGCTAAATTCCTTCTATTCATTATATCAGTAATTGTCTCTTAGATTTCGTCGATAAAAGCTTTAGTGCTCAGAATTCACACACACCTAGTGGTTTGTTTTCATTACCTTATAATCGATGTGTAATGGCGAAGCTGTCATTGTTTGTTCAGACGTTTATTTACATATTTCAAGGAGTTTTAGCAAACAAACTGGGTGTTGCTCATGGCTTAGAATCAATTATCGGAGACTAAGTTTAAAATTGAACAACTTTTCTAAGTGAGCTTGACACAAAAGTTTAGTTTTAAAGTTTAAGGAACCACACAAACGATCTAATTTCAACTTACAGCAGGACTCTTGATCAATTAAAATCAACGATTTTGAACTACTGGCTTCATTACATGAACGCAAAAATAAATACTAAGAAACTTGCCCCCAAAACATGAAGCTAGACTAAATGGACTTTTGAAGAACCATTGAACTGTTGTTAGTTCGTTGCAACAAGGGTTTTGGCATGGTTCACATGAATCTCAAAGACTATGTTGATAAACTGTCATCTATACTTGCAGTTGAAAGTCAATTCTCGAAAGGAGCGTTTCAGAAAGATGCAACTGAACAAATAAAACAGAAGTTGACAAAGATTTAGAAGTTGGAATACGAATTGATCATCAGTGTTGACCTGTTTCAACGACTAAAACCAGCTAGTTCAGTAATTCTTCGACTCTACAGTATTCCCGAAGTTCATAAGATAGATGTTCCCCTTCGTCCTATTCTTGAAATGAACAATTCGCCATATCATATGATTGCTAAATGGTCAACCGAAATCCTTCTGCCAGCGAAAAATCAGATCAATAATTATGATACTCCTGACCCCTTCGACTTCATTAACTGCATAAAAGATGTCAATATGTATGGTAAGCGTATATTGTCATTGGATGTCACATCACTCTTCACAAATATTTCTTTGACAGAAACAATCTACTTTCTATGTGATCATATTAAGATCCACAAGCTTGAAATAGGGATTCTAAAGCATTTTCTGAAGGAATTGATCTTAAGATGTACCTTCAATATACAATTTAGATTTAATAGTGAGATTTATCGAAAAAAAGATGAAGTAACGGTGGGTTCAGCATTAGGTCATTCTTTTATCTGGTTGCTTCATGCCCAGTCTGTAAAACAGTAAACTACATCTAGTGACCAATCAGTTCCATATATATTGAGATACATAGATGACACTTTCATCTGTGAGGAAAACAGTAACCTTGAAGATATATTACGGAAGTTCAACAAATGTCATTTAACATGGAAACTGAGAATAACTCAGAGTTCCACTTCCTGGACGTTCTATTGACAGGAAGACATTATGGTTCTCAATGGAGATCAGTTTAAAGGGAAAAAACCTGGAATGAACAATATACTAGATTTCAGAATTGGGTTCCACTAGTCAAAAAAGAAATTTAAATCACTTTGTACGAGAATTAGAAGAATTTGTACGGAGCTGGAAATGCTTGAAAATACTTCATCGAAAATGGTTATCCCACAAGATTCATTGAGAGGAACATGAGGCCTAGGGATTTACAAGAAGGCACCCCTACGGTCCCAAACAAGACATTGTTTATGAATACATTGTGGATACATTGGGAGATATGCTCAAGAATGTACTGTTTAAAGCTCTGAAGAAGACCTTCACCAAGCTTCGAATTGTTTTCTCCA